ATAAGAAAAAAAACCATCAGAGTTCACCTGGGTGGCTCTGTCGTTAAGCATCTGACTTCAGCTCAGGTCATAATCTCACGGTTTGTAAGTTCGAGTCCCACGTTGGGTGAGCACGAGCCCCACTTCCAGTAAAAACACAAGCCCTGGGTGAGCTCTACTTCTCTCTCTCTCTCTCTCTGTCTCTCTCTTACATACACACACACACACACACACACACACACACACACACATCTCTCTGCCCTCTCCCTCTCTTAAAAAAAAAAAAAAAATGAAGGGGCACCTGGGTGGCTCAGTCAGTTAAGCATCTGACTTCAGCTCACATTAAGATCTCACAGTTTGTGGGTTTGAGCCCTGCATCGGGCTCTATGCTTAACAGCTAGCTCAGAGCCTGGAGCCTGCTTCAGATTCTGTGTCTCCCCTGCTCACGCGGTCTCTCTCTCAGAAATAAATTAAAACATTAATTTTTTTTTTAAAAAATGGGGAAAGAAAAGAAAACATCAGAAAAATTCCAGTTGAGGAACATTTTACAAAATTCCTGACCAGTAATCTTCAAAATTGTCACTATCATTAAAAATGAGAAAAATCTTGGAAACTGCTCTCAACCAAGAGGATCCTAATGAGTCATGACAACTAAATGTATTGTGGTATCCTGGACGGGATTCTGGAACATAAAAGTGACCTTAAGGAAAAATTGAGGAAATGTGAATAAAAGATGGACTCTAGTTAATAATAATTATCAGTATTGGTTCATTAGGACACATGTAATATGCTACTACAAGATGTTAATAGAACTAGACACAGGTATATAGGAACTCTCTGTACTAGCTTTACAATGATTCTATAAATGTAAACCTGTTTTGAAATTAAATTATTAAAAAATAAGCAGTATGATATGATAATGGTCATATATTTGACAAAATGTATAATGCTTTATTCCAGAAATTATTCTCCTTGCCATAACTTTTCAGATATCCTCTTTTTTTAATTAAATTCAACTCCCATTTTTAAAAGATATATAAAGATCTTCCCTTTTTTCTGAGCATATTGATGAGGTTATTTAAGGTCAGGTTGTCTATAAATATTCGGAATGGCTTCACTTGGAGTTGAAAGGAGAAGCTTCTTTGAGAGTTGAAAGAACACTTAAAATCATTTTTAGTTAATTATTTATTCTTGAAGTTTCTGATTCTTCCTTTTGTATATTGATTTGCATGAGCAGAAGCAAACATCTTGAATGCTTTATAAAGGTTTCATTATGCTTCCTATCTATGTCTTCAAAATGCATCTTTCAATTGACCCATTTTCCATCCTCTAAACACTGATAGAAGGAAGATAATGTCCTCAAGTTCAGCATTAATGATGATGGTGCACATGGCAGACTTAGGAACAATAGAAGCTCCATCACTTAGCAGCTTTTTAACCTTGAACAAGCTCTGCAGCTTAGTTTCCTTCATCTTTAAAACACAGTAAGACTAGTAATTAATAAATATAGTAAGGATTAAATGAGATACTGCATTTCAAGTTGCTTATCATAGGACCTGCCGCATGGTCTCAGTAAGGAGTGGCTATTGTTTTTAGGGCTGTGATCTCCCAAGAACCCGTGTGTGACAGAGAAGGCAAACCACCTATGGTGACGCAGGAAACGTGGCTCTGCCAAGGGCCACATCCTCCTAAGACTGGGACAGTAGAGTGAGAAAATAGAGAAAAGGCTGTATATTGTTAAGGGAATGATGATAATGTGCAGAGTGATGGAAGAGGGCAGAAGGATAGGCAGCCTGGCTTTTCCTCTGCTCTTATAATGTCTCTGCAATGCACAGTGACTACTGCCAGGTCATTACCTCTTCATATGTGTGAAAAGGTCACCAAAGTTACGGTTTTGAATTTAAGAGAATTTAATTATTATTGAAGACCACTCCAGCCTCTAGGGTAGACACAAAGAAAGGAGAAAGAAAATGCCATTATCTTACCCATACTTATCTCTAGAGACCATAACCAAAAAAAAAAAAAATAGTATTGTGTAATATTCAGTAAATAAGTATTTGTTATATACATATATACATACAAATTTTTATACATGTAAATTTTTATTGAACATTGCATATGTGACAAGCATTTTACGTACCTTGTTTACTGCTCACTACAAACCCCTGAGGCAGATTTGCATTACCTCATTTTAGAGAGAGAAAATAAAACAGGAAATTCGGTAGCATGCCTACTCAACTAGGAAAAGTGATCTGATGCCAGGTCTCCAACTCCAGATAAACACTGAAATATGTATTCCTTTTGCAGGCACTAGAGGCATAGTAGTGCACAAGATATAACCCCTGCCCTCAAGGAGCTGACAGTTGAGTGGGAAATGCAGACAGGGTAGGTGCAGCGCAGGTGCTATAAGATCACAAAGGCAGAGGTTTTAACCCCGAGACAGTATTCACGGTTCTCACATCACTGAGCAAAGCATGTTTCCCACTTGGTTCAGATATGTGGGATCCTTAACAGCAAGGATTGCATCTTTCCTTGACTTCTGCTGCAGTCTAGGTAGTTGTTTAGCGCATAAGAGTGTGTGAGCTGTACCTAAGCAGTTTCTTAGTGCCATGTCAGGTATGCTGTGGCTTGGCGTTCGATGCTAATAATCACACTGCCTCATAGGGAAGTATCTTTAGGAAGTTCTACTTAGAATAGGGCCTGTCCTGTAAGCACCCAAATATGTGTTTGACTCCTTACTCCACGCAGTTAGCACTATGCCTTGCAACAGTAGGCACTCAGTTAATGTTTTTAAGTCAATGTAGAGATTGTGGAAACTTTTAATATATTTTATACACTCTGTAAATAAATTCAGACTTAATGGGGTTAAAAGCCAATATAGCATAAAGTGATTCAAAACAACAAATACATATATACATACATACATACATACATACGTACATACATACATACATACATACGTACATACATACATACATACATACATACACACAATCTCTTTTCTACTAAGGCCAGCAGATGGGTGTGAAAATTAGGCAACTTTCAAAGGTATATGCATGGCAAGATTTTATCATGATACTGTCAACAGTCTTCTTTTGATTTATCTGTATTTCTATTCCTTCTGCCGCTGCTACCAATGTAGTCTTACCTTTCTCCTCAGCTTGTGGAATTATCAAGAAAATTATCTGTCTGTTGGATAAGGAGGGAGTGGGTGGTAATTGTTGGTCTCCACTGAGCCAGATCATTGCCTTGGATACATGCAAAAAGTTCCAGACCTGCTAATTGTCCTTGAAGTTCTCTGTGAAACGGATCCTTTTATTCTGACTTTCCTAATATGTGCTACAATAGAAGGGATTAAGAGAACTGAAGCATAATAGGGAAATAGTATTAAGATTGAGATAAGATCCATCTGAAATTAGTAGTTTTATTAGAACAGCAAGTGACAGAAGATTCTTAGAAATTACTTGTTTATAGGGGCTTCTGTGTGGCTCAGTTAAACATCCAGCTCTTGGTTTGGGCTCAGGTCATGATCTCACAGTTTGTGGGTTCAAGCCCTGCATTAGGGCAGTACAGAGCCTGCATGGGATCCTCTGTCTCCCCTTTTTCTCTACCCCTCCCCTGCTCCTCTCTCTCTCAAAAATAAATAAATAGATATTTTTAAAAAGAAACTACTTATTTGCAAGATTGCTTATAAATTACTTACCAGATTAATTATAAATTACTTACAAGATTAGTTCCCAAACCTCCTTATCTAATACCTTCCCTGAGAAGAAACTAAAAACATGTTAACGCCATCACTGAAATAACAATTCCAAATTTTCTGAAATGAGCCTAGAGGTAATAACGATAGCAGAAATTAATAAATAATATTTTTAAAGAAAAAAATGCTTTCCTTTTCTAGCATGGCCCAAACTCTAATTTCATGTCTGAGGCTCATAAAACTAATCATGATGAATTCATTTAGCATGATTATGGGGTGCAGAACAGCTCTTCAGATGGAATTTTGTTCTATTATAATTTTATTCCAGAGCACTGTATCATTAAAGTGAAATATTAATGATATTTTTATTATAACTGTCAAGAAAATTATGGACAGGATTCCAAAAACATAAAAGCTTGGAATTGTTTTAGAAACCTACATTTTTTAAATGTACTGCTTAAAGACATTCAGCTTCTTAAGAAAATAATGTATAACAACTCTCATTTATCATAGATATTTATTTATTATTCCAAAATTACATAAATACTCGGCTGAACCAGAGAGCCATAGTAAAATAATTTACATAAAAGATTAATTAGAATAGAATATTTCCCTTTAGAACAATTCTAAGGGAACTCAGTGTGTTGGTGTTCATTTAAGTTAGAATTTTCACTTCTTTAAAAAAAGTGTTACTTTTTTCACAACTATATCAGCCCTGAGAAAAAAGATACTTTTAAATCACAGTTCTTTGGGGGATATTAAAGTAGTGTTTTTGGCTCCCAAAATGACTATGTGTAACCTAAACCACGAAAATGTGTCTTGTTTTAAATTCCCATGGACAAAATTAGTATGAGTCCTGAACCACTGTTTCCTGTGGAAAATACTAGCCCACTGCTGGGAATAAGTTTTCCCCTAAAAACTTGCTATTATTATAGAACAGTTTTGACAACAGTACTGATAGTAGTAAAGGATTTGGGGGGCTCATTTTTGTATTATTATGCAAAAACAAAGTTCACTGAACAAAGTTCAATAAGCTCTTATCATCTTAGATTTTGAATAACATTTATTCAAGAATAAATAAGAATAGACTAAGGAAAGCTTGTGGTAAATATTTCTATCTTTCTCTTTGTATTTCTTTTGTCTTTCTTTCTAATAGTAACATACATTAATCCAATAGGTGCATTCAGCAGGTAGGCCTTCCTAAATGAAGAAACTCGAGAGTTTCTCTGGGAGAGAAAGTAAATGTAGAACCTAGAAGAAAAAAACATACCTATCAATAAAGTCAAACGTTGTTAATTTAAATAATTTTTTTTTTTTCAGAGCAGCATTAAACATTTATTTTCACAACCTATCCTTTACAAAGACAATAAGAAATTTCTGAAGTCTACTTTTGAATTCTTTTGGGATTCACTCTGACTAAGCAACATTTTTAATTTAGATAAGTGTTTCTTAGTTTTGCTCGTGCTCTTTGAGGAGCAAGTGGGTGTTGACTGTCCAGATGTCGGTGTCCTGAATACAAAGGCTGGGCTCTTGCCTTTGGAACCACACATATGATTTAGGTTTGTAGAACTTGGAGTCCTCCTCTCTGGTGTCTTCAGGCCGAGTTTAGTCATAGGAGTGGTAGGACTGCTCTTCAGTGAAGATAAAAAGCTTCTGCTTTTACCATGATGTTTAACTGTTCTGTTGCATGTTTTACAAGTAATCAACAATATACTTTTGGAGTCTTTGTATTTTTTCACAATTTTTGCTTCTTTAAAACTGAGTGTACAATTTCTTGCCTCTTGGTTAAGAAGTTTCTGTATTTTGGGTGTCAGTTTGGATTTGGGTTTGAGGCGCACTCGAGAGTTATTAATTATTAAACGTTGTTAATTTAAATAATCTTTACTTATCCTTTACTTTATCTGATAACACAAAATTCCAGAATATAGTCGGAATCACAAAGAGAAAAATTAAGTATCTTAGTTGGCACAAAATTATTTTATTTAATTTCACATATTGCATTCAAAAGTGACCTTTTTAGGAGTTTGATCATAATATTCTTCACTCTGTTTTCAAGCACACATCAAATTGTCTTGGTTATCAAGACATTTGGAGAATTCAAAGAGTGGTTGATGACAGCCTTCCTATTGCCCAGGGAAGTAGAAAAGAGAAAAACTATACAAACCAAATCTCAAACTGAAAAAAAAGAGAGAGAGAGAGCAGTGGAGGATCCAGTTATTGTAGACTTTCTTAGTTCATGAGAATATCAATTTTCTACATGTACATATTGAATGTTTGAATTATACATACTGAATTGTATAATATGGTACCAGAATATTGTCAAGAATTTTGCTCAGTATATCAGTTGAAGAATATATGAGGCGATATCCTGAGATGATTGAATCAGTTTCTATATTACTTGACTCTATTGAAGGTAACACTTCAAGTCCTAGACAGAATAGCTTTAAAAATATAACCTAGAAGGGGCAGCTGGAAGGCTTGGTCAGTTAAGCGTTCAACTTCTGCTCAGGTCATGGTCTCGTAGCTCATGGGTTCAAGCCCAGCACCTGGCTCTATGCTGACAATGCAGAGCCTGGAGCCTGCCTCGGATTCTGTGTTCCTCTCTTTATCTACCCCTCCCCCACTCACACTCTTGTTTCTATCTCTAAAAAAACAAACACAATACATACATACATAAATTCAAAAAAGAATAAAAACGTAATCTAGAAGCATTGTAGAGGTATATAAAACAGGCTCTGGAGGGAAACCAAAACTTGGAAAAATGGACCACAAGAAGTAAGTTGCCTGTTTTTACGGTATTTAGCATTTAAATACTGTTGGAAAACTGTGCAGCCTTTCTTGCTTGAAGGTTCAGAAGATAGAGTATGGTACAAAAAGAAATCTTGGAAAATGAGAAAGAAATCCCAAAATGGAGAGCTTTAGAGAAGTGCCTTCAAATTTTGTTTATGAATTTACCCAATTATCTGACTCTCCAGTGAACTATTACTCATGGACAAGAAAGATTGGAGGCAATCTAACCTAAGCATTTTGTTTTGTTTTGTTTTGTTTTGTTTTTTTGTTTTGTTTTGTTTTTAGTGAACTGGTATTTGAGTTGTCATCTACAAAATAAAGTTTGTAGTTTGGGACCTAACAAGTTAATTGCCCACTAAGACAAAAACCTGAATACTCTGTGGATGAATATTATAACAAAATCCAAAGTCTCTATAAGAGTCACAATGTCTATGATATAATCTAACGCTTTTTGACATCAGATGATATAGGAAAGTGTGACTCAGTCTCAAAAAGAAAGATAACCCTGAGATGACCTAGATTTTGGAATTGTCAGGCAAGGTTTTCTAAATAGCCTTAAAACTGTGTCCAGTGAAGTAAAGGAAATATGCTTGAAATGAAGAAATCTCTACAGAGAAAAAGAAAAAAAATACTTGAAGTAGAAATTCTAGAACTGAAAAACAATATCTGAAATAAAATAGTAACTGGATCAAATTAATAACAGAATGAAGATGACAGAAGTGTTAGTGAATATGATGATATATTAATAGAAAATGTTCAGGGGTGCCTGGGTGGCTCAGTCGGTTAAGCATCCGACTTCGGCTCAGGTCAGGATATCACAGTTCATGAGTTTGAGCCCCACGTCGGGCTCTGTGCTGACAGCTAGCTCAGAGCCTGGAGCCTGCTTCAGATTCTGTGTCTCCCTCTTTCTCTGAACCTCCCCTGCTCACACTGTCTCTCTATTTCTCTCTCAGAAATAAATAAATAAATAAATAAATAAACAAACAAACAAACAAACAAATATAAAAAAAAGAAAATATTCAACCTGAAAAATACAGAAACATTTTTAAAAAAGAAAATTTAGAGAACCCCAGTGATTGTGAGATACTAACTAGTGATCTAATACATGTGTAATTGGAGTCACAGAAGAAAAAGAATGTGACATAACAAATATTTGAAGATTGAACAACCAAAATTTTTTCCAAAGTGGAGGGAAACCGGATTTACAGATAAGGAAATTCAACAAATCACAATCAGGAAAAAATACAAAGACTGTGCCCCAGCATAAGATTATCAACCCACTGAAAACTAAAGACAAAGAGAAAATCTTGAAAGTCACCAGAGGAAAATAACACCCTCCAATGTAGGCAAACAACTATTTGAAAAATTCCTGACTTCTTATAAAAAACTGTAGAAACCAGAATAAAAGTGAAATAAATATCTTTAAAGTGGTAAATGGGAAAAAATGGCAACCCAGAATTCTTTATCAAATAATAATATTCTTTAAGAAAGACAGTAAACAAAGACATTTTCATATGGATGTAAACACGCACACACACACAAACACACACACACTCACCCAAACTGTAACCAGCCAACTTGTGCTATAGAAAATGTGAAAAATTTCATGCTGAAAGAAAAATGATGGAAATTTGGATCATCAGAAAGGAAAGAAAAACATCAGAAGTGCTAAATGTCTGCAAAATAGAAAAAGAATATTTTTCTTTTAACTTCTTTAGCATACATAGAGGTATTTAAAGAAAAGGCATAAAATTATTTTATATATTTGTAATACATACAAGATAACTATAACATAAACAAGGGTGAGAGAAAATGCACCCTTAAGACTGCAAGTTTTCTACATATCTTCATGAAGTGTTACAATATTAATTCTAAGTGGATTATAGAAACTTCATATTTTGCAACCCTTAGAGCAACCACTAAAACAAATAATATAAATAGTTGTAGCTAAACAAAACAATAAATATATTAAAATGGAATTACTTAAAAAATAACAAATAATCCAAAAGAAAGCAGAAAAAGTACAGATGTATTTAAAACAGACCTAAATTAAATTATAACAATAATTGCATTAAATTTATTAGGGAATAAGCACCCTAAATTTTCAAAATAAAATTTTGGAAAAACAAAGAGAACATGAAATAAAATAATATGTTTTTAAATACTTCAAATAAAAATAGAAAAAATATATTAATTTTAGCACTTAAAGTAGCCCTTTATATCTCTGAGAATATGACAATATAAAATAATTCATTTTCCTTTATTATTGAATAAATAATAGTCCTTTATTAGAGAATCTTTTCAAGGAAATATTTCTTATTTTCTTACTTTGCCCTCATTGAAGCAATTTCTTTTTTTAATGTTTATTTTATTTATTTTGAGAGAAACAGCGGAGGAGGGGCAGGGAGAAAAGGAGGGGAGAAAATATCTCTAGCAGTCTCCACTCTGCCAGCTTGGAGCCTCACACATAGGCTCTATATCATGAACTGTGAGATCATAACCTAAACTGAAATTGAGTTAGATGCTTAACCCACTGGGCCACTAAGGGGCCTCTCATTGAAGCACTGTCTTAAATAGATTTTATTCCAAAATGACTTTCAGTGCAAAACGACATCTGTAATGTGATCTGTTGTCCTATATTATCTGTATTAGAACATTTTCTGAATATCTTTATAAGTCTACAGAATCTGTAATGGTGTTCCTTTTTTTATAACTGGGAATGGTTATTTGTGCCTATTTTTTCTTTTTAAGCCTTGCTTGGGTTTTAGCAGGTTTATTAATCTTCTTTACAAAAAAAAAAACTTGCCTTTTTGTACTCTTTAAAGTACACTTGCTTTTTATATCATAATTTTATACTTTTATCTTCATTATTTTCTCTTTTTAAAGTTTATTTTGAAAGAGACAGAGAGCATGAGTGGGGGAGGAGCAGAGAGAGAGAGAGAGAAAGAGAGAAAGAGAGAGGGGGGGAGGGGGAATCCCAAGCAGGCTCCACGCTGTAAGCACGGAGCCTGACATGGGGCTCTGATCCCATGCACTATGAGGTCATGATCTGAGCCAAAACCAAGAATCAGATGCTTAATTAGCTAAGCCACCCAGGCACCGCTATCTTCATTATTTTCTTTCTTCTGTTTTTTTGTTTGTTAGTTTTGTCTTTAGTTTTAATTTTTGTGAGAAGTGCAATTATTTTTCTTTTTTTCCCCTGACTTTGATCCATCCTCATGGATGCTTAGATAATTTATTTTAGTCTGTAAGTTTTCCTCTAAGCTATATCCTGCATGTCCTGATGTCATATTTTTATTTCATTCAGCTCAAAATATTTCACTGTGATTTTTTTCTTTGCCCAATGGGTTATTTAAAAGTGCACTGCTTGATTTTCAAATCTTCCTCTGTTGTTTGGGTACATACTTTGTTTTATTTTAGGACTTCAGAAATTGTTGAAATTTACATTTTATAGCTCAGCCTTTTTTTATATGAAATTCAACAAAGTCAAAAGTCTAATACTATTTTAGAACCTGTGCCATAATATACAGATCTCAGAATAGTTTAAAACTGATCAACTCCCTGTATATTTGCATGATATTCTTTTCATTATTTTAGTTTTCTACCCTACAAACTAGATTTTATTCATGTTTTATACAGCAATGTTTGTTAAGGTTACACGTATATTAGCCGTTTTATTTGCTCATCATTTATTCATGCATTTGTGGCTGTCATTCTGGGCACTTTTTTTCCTTCTTCCTTAATTTATATTCTATAAGATTCCTTTAATTCAAGTAATTGGTAGTAAACCCAATGTTTTATGAATCTGAAGATATTAGTAATATCTATACTGCTTTGGGGCAGATAAAGATTACTTACACAGAACTAAAGAGGTACTAACCATAAATGATAAGATCAATAAATGTGATATCAGTGTAATTAGAAACTTCATCCAAAGTTTATCATAAGATACCACTGAATAAAACAGAATGTGTGAGAAAACTTTGCAAAAGACTTTCCTACTAGTGAAACCGAAAAATGGATACTTTAAGTGCAAGGGGGAATAAAGGTAAATAATCAAATA